TGCCCAGTCAATTGCTCAAAGGCCTAAAAATCGACTATGCTAGGGCAAAAGTCAACTGTGGCCCACATATAGTCAAACTTCAAGATTTTTGGTCAACATCCTCATTTTGAAGTATATTTCATCATTTGATCAAAGGTTGATCATGATTCATCAAGGATTGCTCATAATTCATCAAGAACCAAAAGTTGCTAAATCAGGGTTATGTAGGAAAAGTCAACTCAACTTTGACCAAGCACAACTTTCTCATACTTTATGATAAATGACCCATAGAAAGCTCATTTTGAAGAGGATGCAATTCTATACAATCCATCTTCATCTCCCAAGTTCAAAATATGCACTCAAAAGAAGTTATGAATTTAGACATTATAGGTCATTTTGAAAAGTCAACAAAAACACCTTTTTTTTCAAAGCTTCATACATGAACATGGAATACCATATTTAGATGAGACCAAAAGGGTTGCTTAGAGGACATCTCAAGCTTTCTAAAAAGTCCAAGAACACCTTCAAAGAGTCAAAATTGAGGAAGTTATGCATTGGTGAAGTTGACCTTTTTTTCAAAATTGTCAAAAGTCAACTATGCCTCAAATTGCAATTTTTGCTAATTGGGCCCAACTTTTTGCACTTGTTTTGAGTTGGTAGCATGGTACACGACCCAAGGAAGCCACCACATCTTATTTTCTCCATTTATTTATTTTATTATGGTTTTTATTTATTAAAAATCATTTTAAATCAAATAAATAATGAAAAATACCAAGATTTGTTTTAAAGATCTGATTTTGATGAAAATCAAATCCAAATTAGCTGGCCTAATCAATCAAATTCGAATCAAGGCAAAAGGGCATGATTTGCATGGTTATGGAAAGATTTCATATGGCTTAAAGACCAAATATTCCATTCATGAATTCTTGAGATCTTGGCCAAAAATAATTAACCTAATGTGATTCACTACTTATGCTAAAGATCATTGAACCCTAACAACAAGAATTTTCGTGCAGAGTTGCCTCCAAGAACAAGAGCAAAATCTCAAAATTCCAAAGAAAAGTGTGAGACGGATATCCTTCTGTAGGCCAATTCAAGGCGTGTTAAAGCTTCCAATCGCTTGCTGGCAATCTCCTGGAGCTAACCCAATCATCAGCAAGGCTTGAAACGCCCAGAATCACCCTACATCACTCACACGGTTTGCTTTCAAACTCAAAATCATTTTCAATATTTCACGCATCCTAAACACATTCTAATCATATATTCTTGTTCATCATCTTGTTTGTAAGCTATTGGTACTGTTTAATTACATTTACAATGCAGGAATTGCCATACGCCATAGCTAGGGTTTGCAAGCTTGTTTTAGGGTTTTGTAACCCAGTCGAAATTGGGCCATGATTAGGGTACCATAAAGCTCGTGAGATTGAGACGAGTGGATTGGTACCATCACCATTGATTTATTGTGCTTATACATGATTTTTGAGATGCACAGGTTTTTAGCTACGACGAACGTCCGTTGGTAAAAGCCTGTTGTCTAAGACAACAGATCCTTGGAGAAGAAGATGTCGTGGCAAGCAACCATTCGCTCGTTTGAAAATTCGCGCGTTTGGACTTAGTGTTTTGTTGTTTTCTCATATTATGATTATTGCTTATTCTATGTACAACAAAAGCATGCAGCGCAGTTGGTAGTGGAGTAGTTGGAAAAGGCTTTGGGGCCTGGGTTCGAATCCCAGGTCCCCTCATTCTTTCATGTTATTTTTCTTTCAATGTTCAGGCACGCACACAAGGCCAAGAGACTACCATGTGACCTCAGGATCCAACCATTGGATCTCCTGGAAGCCAGACCTGAAGGCCATCAACGAAGGAGCATCATATACCATGGTCAATGCATCACAGGAAATCTGGGCAAGTCAACATGGACCAACCTGTTTTGGGCCCAGAATTTGATATTCACACCCTCCAAAATTGCTTTCAACAGGCCCAAATCTCTTTCTCTCTTCCTTTTATTTTTCTTTATTAATTCATTTATTTATTTACTAACACAAATTAATTTTTCTTATAAAAAAATCACAAAAATAATATTTTCATCCAATTAGATTTAGGTTTATTTTTATCAAAAATTAATTAATTTAATTAGGTTATTTAACTTTAGGTAACTTTAATTATTTTGAAAATAAATTTAAAAAACAATTAGAAAATTAGGGTTTAGTTTAATTTAATTCTTATTTTCTTTTTCTTAAAAAATAACCAAAAACACAAAAATAGGTTAAATTTAATTATTTTCTTTAATTAATTTAACTACTAATTAATTTTGTATTTAATTTAAAAAACCTAATTCTTTTTCTTGAAAATAATTAAAAACAACAAAAACAATTTTTCTTTCGATTAGGTTAGATGGGGTCAAAACCCTAGTTCTCTCTCGTTCTTAATTTCATCGCGCACGCTTTATTATCTTATTTTACCATATTAATGTAATTGCTCACAAGTTGTAATAGATTAATTGGGACCTTTTACTTTCATTTATCATTTTTTTACGGGTTTGTTTTTGGCTATGTAAATACCCGAAGCCTTGTAATAGCGTAGCTTATTTTCCGCAATTTAAATTCCGCAAAATATTAACTGTTAGATGTATGAATAATAGGGATGCATGACAAGAATGTATGATTAACTTTAAAACGGTTAGCTAACCCTAAATGTGCAAAGATAATAAACTTGAAAGTGAATTACTCGCACATGCGCACTCCTAGGGTACACTCCCACTTTGGTTGCCTTCGGTAAACGGTCATTAAGTATAGGATGCTTTAGTGGTTGCTCTCTTGTCTAAAGAAAGATCAAAGTCCCGTTCGGAAAAGTTGCCTCGGAATGGTTGCCTCGGAATTGTTGCCTCGAATATTGATCTCAAGACATTAGAGTTATTACTAAGACGTCCTGTGATACGGTGGGAGAACTGACTTAGGTTTTGCGTTTGTTTTTGCAAATGTTTCGGTTTAGCAAGAGTCGCCACCGACTTTTTATTTTATCCTAAGGAAAGGTTAAAAAGCACAGAAAAAACCTTTGAGATGTTTTCTTGGGTTCGGGGAGTAGATTATAGAAAGGGAAGGTATTAGCACCCTTTCTATCCATGGTTATCCATGGGCTCTTAGTTACTTGCTTAGATCATTTGCCTTTCATTTTCAATTGTTTGAAATGGTGCTTTCAATTGTTTGAAATGGTGCTTTGTGTGTGTGGTTTTGAAAATATTTTGAAAAAGATGCCTTGTCTAGGCAACCCTTGTAACAATTCTTTACTCGAATGTTTTACAAAAGGTGTTTGTCTTTTTGAAAAGATGTTTCAAGGTTTTGAAATTTGTTTTGAAAGTTGTGTTGTGGAATGTGTTTTGAAAGTAGGCAAGTGTGTTTTGCAAGCTTGATCAAGTAACTAAGAGTTGTCTACCCCTAAATTTACTCAAAGATTTTTCCTATGTTTTAACCCTTTTAACAGTATTGTTCCACCATTGTATTTGGTGGACAATCTTGTGTTAGGATGTTAACAGGACAGGCGCGGGTCATCGTTTAGACCATGAATGCAATAGTGCCAAGTGTCTTTGGCAATTTTTCCTTTAAGGGACTTGATCATTTTTAGGCAACTTGAGAAAGCGTCATCGAGGGACTATGATCATTTGATTTGTTTTGTTTTGCCAAAGAAAACTCAACATGCAAGCATGGCCCATTTTTGAAGGCAACAAGTGGAGTAACCCTAAGGGTGCAAGTGTGATTGGTGTTGTCCATTTTCATGCTTTTTGTCTTTGAATTAGGTCAAGCTATTTGTTAGTTGAATTTTGCATACAAACCCTAGGTCTATCATGGCATAATTAGAAAGCTTTTAAATGCGGAATTTTAAAGTCCTAGATTATTACAACATGATTATGGGGATGGGGGTACAAATGTTTGAATGGGAGATATTTAGCAAGAAATTTAAATCTAAACTATTACATCCATATTGAATAGACAAATAATGAATTGTACAATATTTAAACAAATATAAAAATGCAAAATGTATTATGCACAAAAATGATTTTATGTATGTAAAAGTTTTCATGTTTGAAATATAAACAAAATAGAAAAAGATCATTTTGGAGTATTTTTGTGGTTTTAGGGCAAAACCCTAATTTTTAATAAATAGTAATTATTTACTAATTATATACAATATTTATATATTTATTTATACAAAAAAATAAATAAAAGAGAAGTATATTGTAAAAAGTATTTTTGATGTCAAATATTAATAAAAATAAAAAGGTATTATTTTTACATTTTTTATCCTAAATATTTAATAAAATATGTATAAGTATTTATATTATATATTAAATATACTAAATATATACAAAATGAAATATTAATTATTTACAAAAAAAAGTATATTTTTAGAAAAATGTTTTCAAAATGTAAACAAAAAATAAAAAATAAAAAATGAATAAAATATCACACAATGGGCCAGGGGGGTGTAAATGGAAAATGAGGGTGCAAACAGCAAGCTGACTCAGACCCAGCCCAAGCCAGCTTTGTCTTCAACCTTCAGCAACATTCAAACAGAAAAACGTGCGTTTCTTCTTGCCCAACACAGATCCTGATTCCTTGACTTTTAACAAAAACTCACAACACAAACATTATAGAGCATGGAGAGACGAATTCATACATATAAAAAACTTAACCTAACTCTCAGAAACGATGGAGAATTTCTCCATCCCCAATTTCTGACCTAAGTTTCCTTCCATGTTCAGGTCCAAAATTCTCACAGCACACACAATATAAATGAAAAGTAACTACATGGATGGCCTCAGGGCTATGAGTAGAACATGCTTTCTTCACAAACTTAAGCCTAACTATGCCTGAATAGAGAGATAGAAGTTCATATTTTTACCTGTTCAGCTTGAGTCGTGTACAGCAATGGAGGTATCTTCAATGGAGTTTGAACTTTGGTACAGCTTGCCTGAAGTCCAAGGATGCTTCCCTTATGCTTAGCTTGCTTTGAATCTCTCTGAATCAAGCTATGGAAGTCAACCTGCAAAATTGAAAAGTGAAAATGGCAAACTTGGCTATGGATGTTACAGCTTGTATCTAAGGCTTGGGATAGCTTCAATGGATGGTAGGGAGTGTATTGGAACTTGTTTGGGCAAAAACGCACGAGTGAATGATGCTGGCCAAGTCAAACTGCAGGAATGCCCTGTTTTGTGCAGCAAAATGGTGTTTTGATGAATGAGGAGGTTTGAGGGATGGTTTGGTCGTGTTTCAAACTTGGTTTGATGTCTGGAAAATGTTCATGAAGTTTGTTTAGGCTTGTGTTGACAGGAGATCAAAGTTGGATATCTTTTGCAATGTTTCTTCTAAAATAAGCAAGGATAGTCAAGTTGAGTTATAGGCCAGCACAGGTCCCTCAAGCATGCTGCATCACTCTCTCTTGATCAGTGGGATTTGTATACAAAACTTTGCCTCAAAGATATGGCCTGTACTTCAAAGATTCAGAATTTGACATAAAGCATTACTTTTCCAAAATGGCAAACTTGCTTTTTCTAATTATAGATTAGTTTAGCATGTAATGTCCAAATGGATGAAATAATGCAATAATACAATGGTTTGACATTTAATTATTGAGTGTGAAGAGGATTAGAGGCCTGTAATATAGCTTGTACAAGCTGACTTGAAAAATGCCAATGTTATGAACCAAGAGAAAACAAACAAAAAGAAAAATGGGTGCATGGTGTTTATCTTTTTTATACCTTTCCTTGCGTTCTTGGATGTGTTTCATCTGAGACCTATAATGATTCTCAATGAATTTCTTAGCAGCAGCAACCCTTTCCATAGTCATGGTGGAAACAGCCTCATCCTCTTCACCACCAGCAATGGCACCCACCTCCCGTTGTTGTTCTTGTTCCTCTTCTCCTCCATTTATGACCTCAACTATATCCTCTTTCACCCTGTGATTCTCCATGCCGAAAACCAAAACCAAAACCCTTTATCTTTCTTTCTCTCTTCGAAATGAACGTGACAAAAAAACTAGAGAAGAAGGAGAGTCTTCTAAAAAAAACACAGAGGAAGGGAAAGGGAAGGAGCTATGTGAGACAAGTGTTGAATGATGATTGGTTGGGTTCCACTGTAATCCTACGGTGTTTAAGGTTGATGAATCCGAGGTTTTTTTCACCCTTTGTGGGAACATCCGTACCATGTTTATTTGACTTGTCTAAATGGCTGATTTTTATTTAAAAGATATTATTTACTGATATTGCCAATCATCACCAAAAATATAGGAAGAAAAATAAAAATTGTTGTTGATTCTTAGAAATTAGAAACAAGCTTTATTTGGTCAATGGAAGTACTAAACTAAACAAAAACAATATCAAAGCAATGTATAGTATAAATTTGATCTTAATATATTTTGGATATTTTATCTATCTTTAATAATCATATTTGTTCCCAACAAAGTAAGTATTAATATTAGAAGTGGATTTTGTTGATGACGTGTCGTGAACAAAATAGTAATTAAAAAAACGAGTTTTTTTTTTGTTGCCCTTTTTTTCTCTTATTTAAATTTGAATTATTAAATAATTTTCATTTTTTATCTCTAAATTTAACGAAAATAAAGAGTTAAAACTCAAATTAGTCTTAAATGGATTCGAGTATCTTCCTCTTACAACTAAATTTTTTAATAAAAATATTTTTTTCTAAAATTAAATTATATTAAAAATAATAAAATAAAAAAAATCTCAAAATATTTTATTCATGCATTTCAAATATTTTAAATAATAAATACAAACTAAAATATCAAAATATTGACCACATATTTAATATTTTAAATGATCAAAATTAAATGACATTATACATAATAAAATAAACGGGACGAGTTCGGGATAGATATTAGTGTGTCCATTATCCGATTCATCATCTGTTGAAATATTAAATTAGATTTGATTAGATTTAATTGAATTTAATATTTAAATATAATCTAAGTTGTGTTAGCCCAAATCTAATTACGGTTGTATATAATAGTCATAGTGTGTATCATTATTTATACAATTCAATAATACAAATCCTTATTTTCTTTATTATTCTCTCTTTCTCTCCTCACTAAAAGTGTCTCACGCACTAACAAATTGGTATCCAGAGCTTCCGGTTATTGTTCTTGATCAAGTTTTCAAGAACTTCACGTCAGAGATCGTGTTTCTAGGACAAGTAAATCAACTGTTGCGGAGATGACTAGTGATAAGGGCATTCTAAATTCTCTTCCAATGCTTGACGGAAAAAATTGGATCTGATGGAAAAAAACAGATGCAATCCTTGTTTGGCTTCCATGAAACTCTAGAAGTGGTTACCGACGGCGTTCCTGCGTTAGCTGCAAATGCAACCGACGAACAGAAAAAGCCTATAACAAAGTCAAGAAGAAAGACTGCAAGGTTGCTTATTGCATTCAAACGACTATCGATGCTGTAAATTTTGACAGAATTTCTCATGCTGAAACAGCGAAGGAGGCATGGGATATTCTGGTAAAGTATTACGAAGGAGGTGAAAAAGTCAAGGTTGTCAAATTATAAACCTTGCGTCGACAATATGAATTGTTATCGATGGGAGAAGATGAAAAAGTTGCAGAATATGTGTCGAAGGTTCAGAAACTCGTCCATCTCATGAAGGGTTATGGTGAAACCATTACTGATAAGATGATAGTTGAGAAGGTAATGAGAACATTGACCTCTCACTTTGATCATATTATAATAGCTATTCAAGAATTCAACAATCTTGAAATCACTAAAGTGGAAGATTTGGTTGGTTCGTTGGAGGCGCATGAGATGGGGATTGTCGAAAGGAAAGGAGTTCAGGACTCGATATAGGCACTGCAAGCTCATTCATGGAAAAAGGATGGTGGTTCCAACAAATTCAAATGCAAGTTCGACAAGACTCATGGAAAGAAGATTTGGTCGAATCCCCATAAGAATAAGGTCGAAGATAGATCTTCTGAATCTTCGAAAAAGGGAGGAGGAAACTATCAAAAGGACAAAGAAGATAAGAAAGGTATGCAATGTTATAACTGTGAAAAGTGGGGACACTTGGCCAAGAAATGTTGGTACAGAAAAGACAAGGGGTCGACAGGCAATGACGAAGGAGCGAACCTTGCACGCCAAGATTCAGATGATTCTGAAGGTGGTATGGTGGTTATGGCTGCAGTTGTAGATAACCATGTCGAATCCAAGATCTGGTTTCTCGACTCAGGCTGATCGAACCACATGATTGGTCGAACGGAGTGGTTGGCATATTTTAATGAGTCGAAGAAGAGCAAGGTAAAACTTCCTGATAATAGTTCGTTGCAAGTAGAAGGTACTGGCAATATAATCTTTAAAATGAGTAATGTAGGGAAAGTCATGATCAAAGATGTGCTCTATGTACCTAGAATGAAATGCAACTTGCTAAGTGTTGGCAACTAGTCAAAAAAGGTTTCTCAGTTGTCATGAAAGATGGAGTTTTAAAATTGTTCGACACCAAGAACAATTTGGTCTTAAAATCTCCATTATCGAAGAATATGACATTTAAGACTATGATCAGTTTGACAAAAGTTCAATGTTTGAAAACTGTTGTCGACCACAAGGATAGTTGGTTGTGGCATTTGAGGTTTGGACATTTGAATTTTTGATCACTTAATCAACTGATTACTCAAGATATGGTTACTGGTATTCCAAGCCTTGAGATGCCTGAAAAACTTTGTGAACGTTGTTTAGTGGGAAAGCAATCCAGAAATTCTTTCGTTTCGACTATGTCAATGAGATCATCCTGCATTCTTGAAGTGGTGCATTCAAATGTATGTGGTCCATCCGAAGAACATATAATTGGTGGAAACAGATATTTCATTTCATTTGTCGATGAGCTTAGTCAAAAGTTATGGATCTATGTGATCAAACGAAAGGACGAAGTATTTGAAATCTTTAAGAGATTCAAGATACTTGTCGAAAACCAGAATGAGAAGAAGATCAAAGTTTTGCGAATAGATGGAGGTGGAAAATACACATCCACGATGTTTGAAGATTTTTGTGTAGAACATGGTGTTGATCATGAGGTAACTGCTCCTTATACACCTCAACATAATCGAATTGCTGAAAGAAGAAACAGAATTATATTAGATATGGCGAGATGCATGCTGAAGCAAAAGAATTTTCCAAAGTGTTTATGGGGAGAAGCTATTTCGACTGCAGTTTATATTTTGAATAAGTGTCATACTAAGATATTGAAGAACAAGGTTCCTGAAGAAGTATGGAGTGGAAAACGACCATTAGTAAGTCATTTGAAGGTGTTTTGCTCTATATGTTACAAGCATGTTCCTGATGCAAGGAGAAGGAAGCTTGATGACAAGAGTGAACCTATGATTCTGGTAGGATATCATAAAACTAGTGCATAAAGACTATTCAATCCAGTTAATGAGAAGATTGTGTTGGGTCGAGATATTGCGATTAATGAAAATTCGGTCTGGGATTGGAATTCTAGCAATTCAATTAACAAGTCATTAATGAACTTTAATTTCGACGAAGAAACAGATGAAGTAAAGATCGAAGGAATTGTTGAGAATCCAGTCGAAGTCGAAGAAGAAGAAGTTGTTGACACTCTCGACGCAGTCGAAGTCGAAGAGGATGTGGCTGAAACAAGCCAGAGACCTCAAAGAAATAGAGTTCTTCCAGCAAGACTTCATGATTATGAAGTGGTGGGTGATGATGAAATCACACCAGATGGAGAATTAGTTCATTTTTCTTTACTTGCAGGTGCTGAACCAATCAACTATAGCGAAGCTTTGAAGATTAACAAGTGAAAGTTAGCTATGATCGAAGAGTTATAGGCAATCGAAAGAAACAACACATGTGAGTTAGTCGAATTTCCAGTACATACAAAAGCTATCGAAGTAAAATGGATGTTCAAGTTGAAACACAATGAAAATGGGTCAGTAGCAATACATAAAGCAAGATTAGTAGCTTGAGGTTTTCTTCAAAGAGCAGGACTCGACTACTCTAAAGTATTTGCTCCAGTAGCAATATTAGAGACTGTTCGACTAGTGGTAGCATTGGCATGCAACCAAGGTTGGTCGAAATTCCATCTAAATGCGTGTTGTACCCCAAAATCTCCCTCTCATTTTCTCAAGATTACTTATGTCACGTTTCGAGCTTTGAATCATTTTTTTGCTCAGTCAATTGATCAGTGGACCTAAAATCAACTATATTAGGCAAAAAGTCAACCGTGGTTAATTTACAGTCAAACTTCATAATTTTTTATCCATATCAACATTTTGAACTCATATATGTCAATTGATCAAGTTTGGATCACAATTCCTCAAGAAATTTAATCGGATCACCAAAAGGGCAAAATGGTTAAAATTAGGATTTTGACTGAGAAGGCTCAATTTTTGACTTTTGACCAAATACATGACATATTGGTTTGAGAAATGATATCAAGGATTCAAATGCATCATATTGACCTAATGGAATGGTTCAAAAACACTTCTAAAGATCAATTGATAGTTGAAATTTGGTCAACTGATGAAAAAGTCAATTGTACACTGAAAAGTCAAACTTTAACTTTTTGATCAAAAATCAAGTTTTAAAATCATATTTCATCAAGGCATGTCAAAATATGAAGATTGTTCATCAAGAAATCAAAAAGTCAAAATTATCTTTGAAAAGTCAAAATTCTAAGACTTAGAAATTTTTCTAAGTGTTAAGAAAAATATGATAATTTCATAACTTTGTGCCAAACTTTCACCATGATGCAAGATGATTCAAGAAAAACTTCAAACATGAAAGTTGTAGATCTCAACGAGATCTAAAACATTTTAGGGTTGAACTTTTTCTATAAATTATTGGATCTCAAGTTATAAATCCATGAAGACATGTCCATGAAACTAAAACACTTAGTAAAATTCTGAGCATTTTAAGTCAGAATTTTGACAGAACTTTTGGGCCAAGT